TAATCCACCAAATGCAGCTAAAGTTTTGCGACTTAATCACCTGATTAGATGTGTATAAGAGACAGATGTATAATTGACCAATAATTTACTTATATTTGTTTTACTGATCTCTATTACAGGTAGCCAATAAGGGCCTGTCTCTTATACACATCTAGATGTGTATAAGAGACAGCTATTTTGAAAATAGGCCTATTATTGTAGACCTGAAATTTTGGAGGTCAATTATTCAGTTACTTTATTGTATCCGTTTCAGATTTTGGACGACAAAAACACTCATAAGTGGGAATTTCCCAGTTTCTTGAAACCCAATACAGTAAATCAAACAGAATACGTTAACCTCAACCAATCAAAAGAGAGTATATAAAACTTTGTGATGTCATTGCCTATGTTGTGAACTATTGCGAAAATGGGCGACTAACCAAAAGCGATTTCACAAGACTTGGCCTATATCAAGACATGAGTAATAAAACTGGATGTATTTCACTATCAAAATTGATCATAAATGTTCACGAATTCAAAAATACATACACACACACAAAACTGAAAAATCTCAGTTAATAATAAGACATTTTATTTTCATTTCATTTGTTTGTCACAAAAATATTAAAATTTACAATAACAGAAACAGCAAAGAACATGCAGTGGGGGCTCTAGGATACAATTTATTAGTGGGGTCGGCTAAGATGTCCGGCTGGGGGGGGGGGAAGTATTTATGGGTGTAACTATAGCGCGCACCGGTATCTGGGGGCCGAAGTTCCGAGCCAGGGGTGGGTAGGAGAGGCGGTCCCCCTCCTAAAACGTGATATAAAAAAAATTGGACTTCTAGATGACGGAAATGTCTAGGATGGGAAAGCTAGGCATATTTTAGGCCTTTTTTTTTTGGTCTGACTGCCTGACAGCTTTGACCAATGGGGGGCTTTACCAGAACGATGGAGGAGGGGCTTAAGAGAGTTTGTGTCAATCTGACGATTAATACATCACAAGCAAACTGCATTGTACATGCTTTGGCCTTTTAAACAGGCTTTATTGAAGGAAAGAATATAGGTAGGAGAGCTAACTGCTACCCTTATCCTTCTCCAGGGGCAGATACAGGAGTTATATGTTGGGGGATAACAATAAAAATTTCAACATTTATTATAGGTGTTGGATATTTATTTAAATTATAACATCCAAATGACATTGTGGTACAATGCAAACCTTTAAACAATATTTTGGTACAAAAAATATTATTAATAAATTTATATAATTTATAGACAACATTATAATTTTTTTAATTAATAAAATATGAGAAAAATCATGTGGTGAATCTGACAGCTCTGAACTTTACTCATGATAAAAATGTTATTATGCAATATAAACAACTATGTATAATTGACCAATAATTTACTCATATTTTTTTTACTGATCTCTATTACAGGTAGCCAATAAGGGCTACCCGTTGACCCAAGATGACACTTCCATGCAGGTCATAATAATATAATAATTATTATTTTATAATTATATTGCTGGAAGTCCATTTTAATAATCACACCTATCCCTGCTATTCATGATATAAGAATTTCTTAATCCTTAAGAACAATGCAAACAACCTCCCTGATCAGGCAATGTAAATGCGTACCATCTGATTGGCCAATGATTAAATCATTGAAACCTGACATGGGTAGTTTTCAGCATGTACAGGTGTGTGCAAGGAGTTGAGCAATTGCTACCTGTCCAGTCACTGGGCAGTTTTCAACAGTTACGTAGACACAAAAGATGATCACATGATATCTCCTGAGCAACTGCTAACTGTGGGCATCTGCATCATCACCTGGGCAATTTTCAGCTAAGTCTTGTCCATCTATATAAAAAAAATAAATAAATAAATAAATAATTTACCAGGATATCAAATACCTGAACTAACTGAAATACAGAAGCTGCATCTATATCCCATTAAATATGGCACAGGCCTATATCAAATGTTAGTAAGCATACCTGAACTAAACAAAATACAGTAGCTGTCTGTATCTACTGTACATCTCATTAAATCTCATCTAATTCCTGATGTTAGTTTAGATATAATAAATTGGCAAAATTCTGATATACATAATATTTCTGATGTTAATGTAACACATTTTAAAATGTTAAAATGCACTATAGCAGTGGCTTCTTTAAACTTGAACAGTTATATCATCAACATTTTAATTTGATAATAATAACCATTTCTCACAGTTCTAGAAATATAAGTAGACTATGAATAAAACATTTTTATATCACAATATATAACAATTATTCATATTCTTCCCATATGTAATAAATCTACTTAACATTGCTAATTACTTCAAATAATAAATAATGCACTAAAACATTCTTCGACTTTCATTAGTAGCCACTGATGCCTCACCGATGCATCAGGTGTTTCAAAATGTTTACTACCTAATTTTACAACTCAATTAAATATAATTACTGTATTTTTGCCATGTATATTTATGGATTTTTGTACTACTATTATTTTTTACAATATGGGAGTGATAACTTACCATTAAAAGATGTTCCGCACCATATACAGTAAACATACTTAGTTCTGAGATATCTAGTGATATCATCTAGTCTTTCTTGAATCTAAAACATCAATAAAAAAAAGTCATAATATTAGGATAATTCATATATTTTGAATTGAAAACAACCAAAGAATTTCATACCAGAAGGGTAGTGTGCTTCTCCCAGCCAACATTATGTCAACTCCACTCAACCAAGTCTGACATTCACTAAAGTTTGGCAAACTTGCCAGCAACTATGAGCAACTGGCGAGCGACTGTAAGCAAATTTGATTCACACTATTTTCAAGTGACATGAGCACTCTCATCACCAATTGCTATCAGTTATTTTTTGCTGCCCTTGTTTTATTTTCAGCGATCCAAAGCAACTGACATGCGATTAAATGGTCATGTGATGCAGTAACCCAGTTACTCTAGCCTATTAACTGCGTGCATGTCACACACGCTAATATTTTATCAAATTAGGTAGTTAATTTACAGTTAAAAGCGACACAACTGCTCTGGGTTGGTTCTACGAATTTACTTGTAGCTTGCGATTGCGAGTAAAATTTGACTAAGTGCTAACAGCAAGTAGTTGAGGTCAGTTGAGAACTTACTGGTATATCATCGCCTACATCTTTTTCCTCTTCTTCCTCATCTTCTTCTTCCTCCATATCACATTCTTTTATATTGTCTTCCTCTTGTGTCTTAGGTCTCAAATGTTTTGGCCAGTACCATAAAACTACAGGTTCTTCAACACCCTAATTAGAAATTCAATATTTACAAAGTCAATGAAAACAATTCAGGCCCGTAGCCAGGGGGGGTTTTTATGGTTCGGGCGAACCCCCCTTTTCTAGCGAACCCCCCTGTTTTCTAGCGAACCCCCCTCAAATTTTTGAATGAGTCCCACTCGGACGGAATGTCTGTTTTTAACTTACCCAGCATTAAATCAAAATTTAGCACCTAATTCATTATTTGGTGACCCGTTTTTAAATTCTAGCCTGCGTTACAAGCCTTTATTCATTGAATATCTCAGCTTCAGAAGTTCGGAGATTTAAATTGAACGCAACTCCGGCAAACCATGAATTTACGATGGCTTTATAAGGATGGCAAACATCGATAAAAACCCGGCTCCCGTCTCACCTTTGACTGGCCTTTGCCTGAATGTTTGTAAGAATGTACCAACCGGTAACGAAACTGGTCGCCGTCTGCCTAGAGTAAATGGCGCCACTAAACGAAGCCAAAGTTTTGCGACTTAATCCACCAAATGCAGCTAAAGTTTTGCGACTTAATCACCTGATTCTGGACTGTGTGGTTAGTAAATTCCATAGCCATACTGTCCACAGCGCACACTAACCTATTTGCTGATGGAGCATTTTTGGGAAATTGACTCCTTTTTTCCATCCCAAACAAACTATTATTAATAAGTCAACATGGTCCATCTCAGTCATCATAGCTAGTCACAAAATTAAGAAGGTTGTTTTCAACAACAGACACACACACACAACAGAACGGAGTGCGTCAAAACGAGTGTTTGTCAATTTTTAGTGATAAAGAATTACGAAACGAAATGAAGTTTGATTCCTTTATATGTTTTTGCAGGCTACTCATGATTGGTTTAAACCTGTCTCTTATACACATCTAGGTGTGTATAAGAGACAGCCTTTTTATTACATAGATCTTTTTCAAAACATAACTGCTTTTATAAAATTATATAGACCCATTAATCACAAAAACTGCCCTGGCTTCGGGGGCTTCGCCCCCGACCCCACCGGGGCCCTTAGGCAGGCCCTTGCACCCCACGCCCAGAGAACCCCCCCTTGAAATGACCTGGCTACGGGCCTGCAATTTTACAACACACTCATCCTGTGTACACAAGGACAGAGGTCATTATATATTGATACTACAGTAGTACTATATATAAAAAAAGGTAAAGATTTTCTAAATTATTACCTAGAAACTTGTTACAGTACAATTAAACAATTATGCTTGATACCTGCTCAATTGCATGGTCATATAATGATTTGGAGATTTACAGTGTTCTTATTATTGGGTTGTTTGAAGCCTTCCAAAACCTTTTAAATATTTTTATTGGACTTAATTTAAAAGGTATTTATCTAATTTGAAAAGTGTTGTTTTGGGGTTTGTTTTTTTTGTTGAATTTAGCACCAATCAAATGAAATAAATTCACTGGTCAGTTTTCACAGAGTTACATTAAGAGTTGGGGATTTGCGATCCTTAAAGATCCAAGAAGAGAATTCTTTAAATGACCAGAGTATTAACAAAGTTAATTATTCCAGATAATCACTGAATGTTAAAATAAACATAAAAAAATTTTCCTAAATACTTTGTACTAACATTAGTTCTATCAAGCTGCTCACAAACTTTCTGGCTCTGATAGAAGTCTTTCTCTGCTCCCCTGTTCACTTGTTTCTCTCTTACACGTTGTAAAAATTCACCTTTATTCTTTTCTTGGTTTTGCATTCTATTCTTTCTCATCCGTTCTCGAAATTGTTCAACTTCCTGTTTCTGTTTTTTCACCTGAGCCTCTCTGCCTAATCCTCCTCTATCTACAGAATTATTTCAACCAAGAAAACATGAAATGAAAACTTCTGTTAACTCACTACCACTGTCCGGCTATTTATAGTGTACAGATATCATTGATTTCCGCTCGCTACTTCTATGTGTTGCTTTGACAGCAATGTATTTGTAAGCGCAATTTTGGGATTAACAGGTCTGGTTGGATCTAAATTAAGACAAATTTTTATTCTTCCCTGTGCACTTGGTTATTTTTTTCCACTACATGCAGTACTTTTTGTGTTCTTTGTATCCCCTCTACATATTAACTTAGGTCTTTTCATTTTTATTCTTTTTACACTATACAAATACCGTAAAACCTCAAATTGAAGCCCATTGGGCTTAATCTACTGTAAAGAAGAAGCCCATCTGGAATTGAAGCCCACCTCTTCAGTTTGTAAAATTAGCCACGAAATTTCAAGATAGCATAGACTTCTTTTCAAGATAGTACAGTATATACTCTGTACATGAATTTCAAAGAAACAAAATAAATAATTGGTTTAAACAGTAGTTTAGGTGATTTAATGCCGGTTTATACACTCCATGATACAGATTGATGTTACAGTGGCCCTATTTATTGTTTTATAGTACAGCATTCATTTTGAAAAGAACACCCCCCTCACCCTCTTTACTTTGCAAAAGTGGCCTCAAAAAGAATCCCATCTTGAAAAAAGAAACTCATCCAAAAGTTTGCAAATAAATGAAGAAGTCCAGGGTTTCAATTTTAGGTTTTAAGGTGTGCAATTGAACAATTCTATGAAGTGAGGCTGGATCATAATTAAGCAACATTTAAAGCCTTACCTGTCTTTATTGCAATCGGCACAGGTTCTTTTCTTCCAGTCCCTATAATAAATATCAACAAACAAATATTGTCAACTATTAAAAAATGAATAAAAATGATATTATCAGTAACAGATATACTAAAAAAAATTATTAATCATTATTTTAGTAATATTTGGACCCAGTGTAATAATAGAGGTATTGTTTTCTCACCTGTCTTGCCAAGTCCCATGCCTTTTTTGTACCCCATCTTTTGCAGCATAGCAAATCCTTTATTGTCACTGGAGATTGCATTTTGCAGGCCTTCTTCAAGTTGTTCTCTTTGCTGTATTTTCAACGGTTTTTGTACCTTTTTAGATGTTTTATTGAACTCAATATGTCTGCTCTCCTTCTTGTTTTGTTTCGCCAATTTTCCCCATGCCAACCCTGGTTTAACTGATTCACTAAATAGAAGGTACAAACTTTGTGTTATAAGTGGTACCAATACAACAATGGTATCAATGAAGATGGCACCAATGTGTAAATAACCAGGAGCAGCTTAGCCCTGTCATCTGAACTGGAGGTACTATCTTTTCAGACCATTGGATCCTGTTTCAGCTAGAGGGCCGGGATGCAAGTTTAGAATAGCATGCCATCTTTTGAATGAATCATTCGTGTGTGCGTGGAGGTATAAAATACCTGCATGGTGCGTGTAAATACTATATGGCGCACCATTAGAATGAGATTGTTTCCTCTCGGTGTTAACCCAATTCATCACCAAAACAACCCCACTCAAAAGGTCTTTGTAATTTTATGGGTTATCCTTGGTCTGTTATTCACTGAAATATTCAATCCAATTACTGACCAGCATAGTACCCTTCACATGCATATCCAGGGATAGGACTAGTACTCTACTGAATAAGAAACACTTCATGAAAACTGTCAAAACAATACTAAGAAACACTTCATAAAAACACTAAAAAACAGAGAAGTGTATAAAGTAATATAATACCACACTAGATGAGGAACTACCACATATACAGACCTTTGTAGCAAGAAGCTGTCAGACATGTAATCATCTTCCTGTTCTGTCATACTGAAGCAGCTCCAACAATTTCTGTACAAGGATTAATCTCATCTATCTGTAAAAAAGTCAACATCTTACAACAATAATAAATAGGCCTATGTTATTGTTAAAGCATCAATTCAAAAAAAAAATAATATACTATATAGGCCCTAGTCTAGTTATAGTCTGAGAATACCGTTATAGATAGGCAGCCTGTGAGCCAAAAAATGTGGGCTAGGCCTTCTACAGTATATATATCAATCACTACAGCAAAAACGAAGCTGATTGAAATTGTAGCTCGGAAAGTGGTAGCCTAGGCTACCTAAGGTAGGCCTGGTAGGCTAGTAGCCTAGGCCTAGACCAGTATTATTACTTCTAAGCTAGAGCCTAGCCTAAGCCTAGGTAGTTAGGCCTACGTGCCTAGCTAGGTAGGCTACGGTACGGGGGTTTATGATGATGATAATGATGAGCCTATCGGAGAAGATTCTCTAAATTGTAGTCGTAGGACTCACCTATAGCCTATATAATAAAACGCAAAAATAATATTGAATGAAATCCACAATGACAGCAGTCCCAAGCACGGCACGAACGCCTCTCTCATCGCAGTCAAAATAAAAAGCGCCCTCTATATTAATTGCATAATAATATTCATTGAATGTCTGATGTCTGTCGTCGTCGCGGTCAAGAGATTGGATGAAAGTTTTTAAAGGTGGGTAGCTTTCTTTAGGCTTAAGTTTTTCTAAATTCATGCAGACAGTAAAAATCTAAAGAAATTTGTCGATTACGAATTGCTATTTTCTCCATGCAAGCAATGCTGATCCTGCTATAATTTTAGGACATTAACCCCACAGCCAGAGCATGGACTAGGTCTAGCCCTAGGTCCATGGCCAGTAAGGTTTTTTTTTTTTATTTTTTATTTTTTTATAGTTAGGCCTAGTAGTAGTAGTAGTAGTAGCAGGCCTAGGGTGTCTAGGCCTGCTCTCGTGCCATGGGTTCTCCTAGGGCTAGTACAGGCACTAGGAAGAGTGGGAGCACACCTAGACCTAGGCTTAGCCTTATTTCTAACTAAGTTAGGGCTTAGCCTTGGGCCAGACCTAGGCTAGTCAAGGAATATCATACCTCACAAGTTTTTGTAGAAATCATTTATGGGCCAACTGAGTTTGTGACTTTTTTGCCAGATTTTCAAAAATACTGTACTTCAAAAATGATAGGAACACTGAATATGATGAAAGTGTCATAAAGGAGAGACATCCATCCATATCCGCAAGTCACATTTGAATTTTATAATATACCTCTGGAAAGTGGGTCATATATATTAAATTTTACAGGCCCAAAGTATATTTATTAGAGGATATACTAAATCTGCACCTCTTTAAATTTTATTTCATTCTTTCAGAAAGTGTTCTTATATAGTTTTACCAATTATGTCATTAAATATGTTTAAACTTCCTGGTGTGGATACAAGACTTATCAAGGGTAATGACACTGTCTATAAGCTGAGGGTCATAATGGCATCTGAGATACCCTGTGACATGGCAACATTTCAAAGAGAGATCGAAAGTTTTGTACGAGCAATTATCGTCATGCAGAACATGCAGCCAATTAAAAGTGATCATTTATTGGCTATTCCGAGTAAGTTCTGAATTAAACTGTAAAAAATTTTATACAATAAGCCAATTTCCTAACTGTAAAAATGAAATCCTGCAAGACCCTAGGAAGCTTGAACTTCATTAGTAACTTGTTGAGCGATTGTCTGAACTTCATTAGTAACTTGTTGAGCGATTGTCTGAGAGGTATTGTTCCTGCTTCTTGTGCTAAAGACCCCATTTCAAACCCGGCCAGCGTCAGGTTTTAATTTAAGTCTGATCATTTGGCTCCTTGAATAACCCTCATACTAAAAGTTAGGCGGGTTAAGGACATTGTTTGTATCCGTATGTGTCCGTTATGTTGTAGATAAGTTGGTGGCACTGTACTGCGGCTGCCCATGGGCCCAGCCCAAATCTCGGATTTCCTGTTAGATTGAGGACCAATAAAGAATTATTATTATTTTTGAATAAATTAATCTGGTTTAATGGTTTAATTAATGTGAACTGCGTAATAGTGGTGTTGACCAGCATTAGAATCAATATCTGAGAAAGGATAGCCGAAGTGCAACTGAAACGTTGCAGGTTAGTAACATTTTCTCACTGGTTAAATAAAAGAAAATTATCCAAAAATATTATTATTATTATTATTATTGACAGCTATTTAAGTTATATAAGTATGTGAACAGATTATTGTAAATAAAAGAATGTCTGCAGTAACATGAAATTTAATTAAAGCAATCTTTTTGTGTGGTATGAATAACTGATTAAAATCACAATACCGTACCACAAGTACAAGATTATTTTTGTAAGTCTGTGGTATGTAATTCTTAAAATCAGTATTAATACTGTATAATTGATTTGATTGTGTTTGATAATCATTCCATTTATTTCAGAAAAGAAAGTATGGAAGTCGTGCAACCTCATGAGGTTTTCTGAGAGAAAGAAGCAGTTGAATTTTCATCCTTTTATTTATGAAATAAGACTGAGAAAATTGCCAAATGTTTCTTTACCATCAAATGAAAAGGTACATTAGCATTATAATGTAAACAATTTCTATATGGTAACATATCTGTATAGTTTTTGGTGGCTATGCTGTGATATAAATTTCTATTCAGCATCTGATAAAACAATACAACAAATTTACACAAGGAAAAGAGCTAAATATGTAAAGAAGAAATTTTATCCTTTTCATCAATTAGATTAATCAAAATAACAAAAAAATATGATTTAGAAATATTATTACAACATCTAAACTGACAAAACTTTGTATTATTTCAGAAAGCTGAGGAGACATACATTAAAAGATTGCATCAATATCAGCCAATAGATGGCACTGTTGCAGAAACTGCTCTTCAACCTGCTGAGCCAAAAGGTTTGAAAGTTTGATTACAGTTTCCAGTTATAACCAATAACTACATCTTCCAATGTTCACTGTACTGTAACATAGGTATATAATTGTATTAAAGATACAGGATGTCAACTACCTGTATAACAGAAATCATTTAAGGGATGATTTTTAATTGCTAAATTGAATATGATATGCAGTGAGAATAAATTTTATTTTTATTTATTTATTCAGTGTGAAAATTAGATTTAATGTAAACCTAATATAATTTAGAGCCAAGCAGCCATGTTGCTATGCAATGCACAATTAATATTCACATCCAGACATTTCTGGACACTGATGTGGTAGCAGCTGTGTATTTGAATATGGCTTACAAAATAACTTAGTTTGAGGTGAACTAACTAGCTGCAACACCATCACTACCTATACAGGGCAATATTACAATAGGTTGGAGTTAATTTAACATACATATATAAATGCCACAATGTGCTGATGTATTATGGAATCATTAGGATAAGTTTAATCGCCGCTAATTCATTTAATTTTACTCGAAACGTTCGATTTTCCGCTATTTTCGCTATTTTTTCTCACATTTTCCTTCATAACTTCACTTCTACTCGTCCGATTTTCGCCATTGTTCTTTTACTTTATTCGAAATTTAATAATAGTTTTATTAGTCTTAATTTTAATTTATAAGGTTGCCAAATCTCGTCGGACTTTTTAATTTTGTAACGATAGTTTTTGAAATTTTACTGCGTGAAACCTACGATTTTTGTAGAAATCTGGCAAATCGCCCGAAGTTTTTTTGCAGTAGCTTCGCTGATATTGGGCCGAATTTTGTCATTGTTGTGGCAAAATGTAGCCATGTTTATTACCTATAATATATGTAAAAATTAATTTGATTGGTTATTAAACGGCGTCGGACTTTTTATTTTTGTAAAAATCGACCAATAACAAGTCTG